CTTCCCCAAAGAATTAAAAGAATCATACCACAGTGATATATGTGTGCCCATGTTCATAGCAGCACAGTTTGTGATAGCTAAAACTTGGAAACAGCCCAAATGCCCATGAACTGGAGACTGGATAAAGAAAATGTGTTTTTTTATAAAATGGAGTACTACTCAGCAATAAAAAATGAGAAATTAGAGACATTTATAGCTAAGTGGATGCACATTGAGGCAATACTCTTAAGTGAAATAAATAGGACACACATGTATAAATTCTGAATAGTTTCTCTGGTGTGAGAAACTGAAAGGGTAAATAAGGACTTAAATGTATAATAGGTAATGTGAAATAGGAAGAAAAGGGGCAAAGGGGAAGGAAGTGGGAGGGCTAGGGGAAAGGATAGAAGGGAATGGGATTAATATGAGAAAATGGAAAAATAGGAACAAAATCTTTGTAAATAGGGAGGAATGGAGGGGTTGAAGGGAGGGCTGGGCAAGGGTGAAAAATAAGAACCAAGAGAGACTATGTAAAGGTGCAAATTTCCAATGATGAATGTCATTATATTGTATACCTAAAATGTACCAATGATTAGAATGAATAATCGAAAATGCAAAATAGGAAGAAAAGGTCCAAAGGGGTAGGGGTAGTGGGAGGGGCAGGGGAAAGGAAAGAAGGGAAAGGAGAAATTATGAGAAATGGAAAAAATGGAAGCAAAGTCTTTGTAAATAGGGAAGGGTGGAGGGGGTGAAGGGAGGGATAGGAATGGGCCAAAAATAAGAACCAAGATGCATTATGTAAAGGTACAATTCCCAATGAGAAATGTAATTGTGTTGTATTCCTGCAATGTACCAATAAAAGAATTTAATTTAAAAAAAAAAGAAATTTCCTAAACTTGATTTGTGTTTGTTTTCTTTAAAAACATAAAAAAAAAAAAATAGAACATATATAAATAATATGAGGCTCTGGTAAGCTATTTGAATAACAAAAATTTCGACAGAAGAGATTCAGAATTGCTTCATTTTTGATGGCTTAGTTGTTTTATTTGACCTTAAAATTAGTAATTATGATAAAATAATTAAACTTTGCAAAGGCATATGAAAAATGTATCTTTCATCACTCCAGTTGAAGAAAACACACACACAAACACGAACACAAACACTCAGTATAGGAATTTTAAAAATAAATTTCATATATGGTTATATGTATGAAATGCATACTTAGATATATTTTATAGTTGATACATAATTTTAATATTTCTTCCTTTAAAATGTAGATATAAAATAAATTTGCATCTAATCTTCAATTTTAATGGCACTTAACATTCAATTATATGAGAGCATTAGGAATTATATAGCTAATAACTGATTGATAGACAAGTTTTAAATCAGTATGTTATAAAATTTTATAAAGTCAATCAGCACAACTTGGTTACTGTTTCAATCTTCATTAAATCTCTTTTTAATTCAAATATAAATTATAGAAGTTTATTAGCATTTTTACAGCATTCCAATATCACTATACAGATTCTGGGAGAATTCTAAAATTTTTGTTTAGTTGAAATTTTTAGAAAAACTCCCTAAAATTCTAGAAAACATCATGGAGATATAATACTTCCCTCAATTTTATTCATTTGTCACAATATGAGGTGTTTTTCGATCCCTTGCCTTCTTTAACTTTTGTCTATCCACTAGCTAACTCAGGAAATTATTACCTTCAACATAGACTATTTCAGTAACATTCTTTCTCTTGTCTCCAGCCTCTGTGTACTAAGATATATAATTCATACCAATGAAAATTAATCTTTAAAACATGCATTTTTATTTCACATTTCTCCTCAAAAAACTTCAATGATTTTCTCTAGCCTACAAAATATTTTAAAAGTACTAAATAAACTTAGTAAATAATAAGAGCCAAGATACATCATGTACAGGTACAAGCACCCAATGATAAATGTAAATGTATTGTATACCTAAAATGTACCAATAAAAGAGTTTAAGAAAAATAAATTAGAGATAAGTCTACTTCCCAAGGTGTATTATTTGAACTACTTCCTGTCTCAGTATTTCCTAATACTGTTTTTCTCAAATATGGTTTCCTATACCACTGAAATTCTAATTTCAAGGGTCACATTTTCCTTCCATATAGGAATTTCTTCTGGCCTTTTGTATATTTTTTTTTGAGCATATGAACTAACCTGATTTTCATGTGTGTTTCCCTCAATAGAGTGCAAGTGCTTTAATAGTAGGACTTACTGTCTTAGCTTTCTTTATTTCTGAAGGTTTCCATAAAAATTAAATTACATGGGCCGGGGATTTAGCTCAGTGGTTCTGGCGACTGCCTTGCAAGTGTAAGGTCCCGAGTTCGATCCACAGTACCAAAAAAAAAAAAATTAAATTACATCTTTTATTAAAAAGTGTCTATTAATGAATAATAGCTAACTTGAAGTTAAGTCATATATAAAATGTTAGGCTAGATCAAAGGATATAAATCAGTGGGAATATGATAGAGTTGCATTTATCTCATGCTAAGTTTTCAGCAAAAATCATAAATGCTATTTTGCTGAGGTTTTAGGATTCAATCGAAATCTCGGTGATACAAAGGAGAAGAACATAAATATAAGTAATAAAGGTTGGAATGGCTGGAAACTCATGTATGTTTACAGAAGACAGAGAAAAGGCAGGCAACATACAGGCAATCATGAAAAGGGATAGAATTTATGTATAACTAAAAAACTCAAAATGTATCTTAAAAAATACAGGGAATAAGGAAATGGTTTACCGTGTTTAAAGTCAGAAAGTTTGAATATCAGAAATCAATATATATTGTATATTAAAGAATAGAAACCATTAGGGAGGCACTATAGTAATCTAAATGAAATTATAAACTCTGGGTATAATAAATGTGGAATACATTTTCACCACCTACCTTTCCAACAAATGTTTTTATTGCTTAAGAACAGGCCCAATCTGGTGGTTTTACAAAATATCAATATGTCTACGACTCTGTAGTCAACATCACGGTACTCCTAAACTCTACACTCATTTTTCAAAATGTCAACAAGTTCAATTGGGTAAATAATCAACATTTCAAAATATAAAACTTGACATGACTATGTCATGACTTTAAATTTTCATTCTCAAATTCTCTTGTACCTCAGTATTTCCAGTAATATTGTCTATATTGACATTCACCAATATGCTCTATTCAAAATTCCAGAAAGGATCATTGAATCTTTGTTTCATACATTGTGTCCAATCCATAACATTCTACATTAAAAAGTATGTCCAAAGCCCAACAAATTCTGCATGTCTACAATAAAGCAACTGCATTAAGCAATCAGCCCTGTTCATGTTGGCCTTTCCCAGAGCCTCCTCACTATTCTCCCTCTTTTTCCTTCCCAGCTATCTTATTCAAACCCACTTCACTCTATCCATACCTGTAAGATACGTGCATTCATCATTATATTACTATGTGCAAGAGCAGGAGTGTAGGAACAAAATAAGCTTATTATTATAGAAATATTAATTTCATAAGGATTTCCAAGGCAATCATCATCCCACTTGCTAAAAGATGTGAAATTAGTGAAATTTATTATTTTTTACTTTTACAGTTGATGAGTTCTTGTTTAAGAAAAATACCCAAAAATGAATCAGACTAAAAATTTGAGCATTATCAGAACAATGACATTGATGAATGCAAACCTACTTCCCCCCACCTAAAATACTGCTAGCCCATCTAATGGAAAGAAGCAGCATTCTAAAGTCTGAAATAGTGACATTAAACTTTCATGCATAAAATATCACAGTGACCAACTATTACAGTGAAGATCCATGCAGAATGCATTAAAAAAAAAAAATAGAACTGTTGGTTTCGCCACCTGGTGTGCAAGTGCAAGGATCCAAGTTCGATCCCCGGCACCAAAAAATTAAAAAAAAAAAATAGAGCTGTGCTTCTGGTCTGGTTCACAGTGGTACCACATTTCCATGGTCCCTAGATGTATGATTAGAATGGATACTTATTGACTGGGAAGAACGCCCCAACATTAGGTCCTTGGTCTCTCTGGTAAAAACTGTCACAGTAAAGAAGATTTAGCCTCTCTATCTCTCTCCCCATCCTGGGCAAGAAAACAAATGGAAATAGTATCATACTTCACATAGAATAATAGGTGAATGCTACTGTCAGCGACTTAATGCAGAATGAGGAAATAGTGCTGCCCATCTGGGCCCCATTTAATTCATGAATTTAACCCTTTTAAAAAGCAAATGGATCCAAATAGATTGTATTGAATACTACACACTCACCTTGTCATTCTTGAGTTCATCCCATATTCATTACTCTTGGACTTGATATCAGTTATTGGTTTTCCTATCTTTGATCCATAATGATATGTAATTTGGACTTCATTCATTTCTTTAACTCTTTTCTACTAAAGGCATCCTGGACAACTTAAATCTGGAACTGGCTTTTTAGTCACAATTCTACTCAAACCAGACCTAACCCCCATGTAGACTATCTAGAGGTGCAGAAAGAAATTGAGCTTTGTATTCTCTGACCAGCTAATAATTATTAAATAATACATGTAGGGAAAAATTTCTTCAAGTAAGAATTTCTAAATATAATGCAATCAAACCCTTGATTGCTTTAGCATTGCCCTTGAGATAAACATGATAAACATACACACTCTCAACTTGATTTTAAAGACTCTTCATAATTACTTCTTTGTTTCCCCTCCTCAAGTCATCCCTTCATACTCCTATATCATAAATTACATCCTTCCTCTTTCTGCGAACCAGGCACATTGACTTTGTCTTGGTGACCAAGTACATCACACAGCCTCTGCCAGTACACATCATGATGTTAAAGGCATGCCACATCAAAAACCTTTTAATCAAATTTCCAATTAAAAGATACATTATCTTGACTACTTTAGGACTTTGAAAATATTTGGATCCTATACCAAAGAGAGAATTTGACTATTCTAGATTTATGGAAAAAGCAAAGGATTTTTGTTTCTTACCATTAAGTCATATGGAGGTAGGAAGATCTCAGGAGTTGAATAGGTTTTTAGGCCTTCGTTGAAAACGACACTGATCTGAGGTATAATAGAAGTTGTTAAGTCATTTTCTTCAGTCAGATTTTCACACAAGCCTGTGTAAGGTTGAGCTAAGCCTTTCAATATCACATAAAATCCATCATTTCCAAACACTGGATAAAAACAAGAAAAATATCAGAATATATAGAACACACACACACACACACACACATATGGCATTAGATTAATTTGAGTCTACTCAAATATCAAGAAAAACAAATGCATGTTTAGAGTACTCTTTTCATAGAATTGCATACAGTAAACTATCTTCTAATGAAACTAATAGTTCTTAGGACAAAAGAAAGAAATATCATAGCCTATCATTAATAGATTTAAGACTTCATGACAAAGTTAGAGCAGAAAACCCTTGAAATTTACCTCCTCCCCCCAAATCATCATGTGTGTATTTTATATAAGTAACATTATGTACCTACTATTAATTATTATTTACCTTTGCTATGGATATAATGAAGATCACTTATAGAACTTAATAAAGCAGATAGTTTAGAAAGGGTGACTTATTACCAGAAAGAAGAATTTCTCCAGTACTTGTCTAACTCCATCTTATAAATCTCCACAATCTGCCATCCAGTTTAATTGCTAAAGACCAACTGTGTACCTGTAAATCTGGCAGGTGCATTCACTGTGAGCATTTTGAATGTTTCTTAAATCAATTCCAGATCTTCTGGAATTTCTTCTGAAGAAGCAGGTTATGGGAACTGGATGGTATCTTTCTCCATTTTTCAATTGTTCACATTACTTTATAGGATTGTACCAAATTATATAAGTATATATGGTCATTTCTTAACACTCTGCTTATTATCTTGCTACAGATGGAAACTTTACAAATTGATTTTGAGGGTTAATCTTGTGTCTTTGTATACCCTAAAAGTTTTGAATTGTTTTCCCTCTCTGCTTTTCCTTAGCCACAGCACACATTTGCAGGGCTTTGTCACCTCACTATCCATACACAATGATGAAGGGAAAGTGATTTATCACTCTTCTTTAAAACAAATTTTGGTTTTTTTCGGATATCTGAGCTTAAGCAGGATCCCATCTGGACAGCACAATATCATTCATTAAACATCTATCTGTATGGTGAAGACATGGCAGAATCATTGCTTTTTAACAGCTAGTAAATGAGCTATCTGAGGACTACGTGGTAATAAGCACATTTAAAGATCTGTGGTGATAAACTTTTGTAAAATTAGTAATGATTTTGACTACATAGGAGGAAAGTAGTTAAGAGAAAGGTATATTCCAATATACACCATATACATTTCAGTTCTGTTTTTGTATAGAGTTAACTAAAACTTTTTAGTATAGAATAAAAGTTGTGGAAAGAGGTGTACTGTGTAAATAATTTTATTCCAAGGGCTAATACTTGCCTTCCTAATATCAATTATTTTCTTTTCCTCTACTAAGAAAACAACAATTTCATTTTATGTTTCATGTGCCATGCTCAAAAATTTCTATTTCCCAGATTATCCCACATGCATGGCTGTGTACCATCATTCTGATTAATAAAACATTGAGAAGATTTTTACTTTCTAAATATGCACACCACCTGTTCTACCTTGATACCTAAAACAGGGACATCATGTTGGAACTGGGAAGGGATTTTACAATCAAAATGAAAAAGTGAAGAGATTGTCCGAGATTTCATTCTGACACTATTGAACCATTTGTCTGGTAATTTCTCATGATGTAACATAAACAAATCCTCAAAATTTGTAAATGATCATCCTTTATATCACAGCTATTCAAAGCTGGATACAACTTCTGTGTAGATATTGTTCGTATTTTACTTAAGTCTAAGCATATTTGGTCCATCTGTCACTAACATACATAGTCACACTATCACAAAGAATATTCTCTTTGTGTGAAACATCAATTTCTATCACTATATATAAAGAATGGCATTTTGTAAAAGGAGTGGAAATAGATTAAAAATCTTTTAGAAATTTACCATCCAAATGTAATGCCATTTGGTTTGAAAATCTATGTTTAAGTCAGCTAAGTATAAAAAAGAAATATTGTATGATGAGACAATCGATTGTGATTTTTCAACTTGGGTGGATTAGTAACTGCTCAGGGTATTAGAAGAACACACTTCTGGGTGTATCTGAGTAGGGCAGGCTGGCATGATCGTCCCTGGCCCCATCCCCGCCAGCACTGTTTCCTTCTTCTGCTTCCCGAATGCTATGAGCTAAGCAGCTTTGCTTCACTCTGCCTTTCCACAACAACGTTCCTGCCTTGGAGCCAGCCTACCATGAACTGAATCCCTTGAAACCAAGAACCAAACTAAGCTCCTCCTAGTTTAGGATTTTAGTGTTGAGTATTTTATCCAGAAAAAGGAAAACTGAATAATACATATGATTAAATGTAGCTTTCTATGTTAGGACTAACAACTCATATCATATGTTAAAAATAATTTCATAGTTATCTCTGCTTTATAGTTCATTTCAAAAGCAGTGCCTAATGCATATGTAATAATTAGCATTCACGTGTTAAATTGGGAGCAGCTGTCATGCTCCAAGATAATATGTTCACCTTAATAAATATAACTCCTCTGGTCTTCTCAAGAAAACTTTACTATTTTCTTTAGGCCTTTGTCCAGTTGCAGTGAAATTTGCAAAATAACCTCTGTGTATATTATATTAATGTTTACATTTACATGATAAACCTATCTAGAGTATTAGGAAGGCCTTTACAGAGGTAAACCAGTTGGAGAGAAGCATGAAAAAATGTTTAGGTGAGAAACATCTCATTGACTCTTAAACTATACTTAGAGAAAAAGTTCAAATTAAGCTACTTTGGAAGCTGCTAACTCTACCAGACATCAATAATATTGTATGTGAAACAGTAAGGAGTAGGGGAGGGTGTCTTAGAACAAAGATATTAACTAAGTCAATTCCATTTAATGTGGTTGACATATATCCATTATTCTTTTTCTTCAAAATAATATGTTACAAGTGGATCCAATTATAGTCTAAGAAGCAGGAAAAGGTCATAGGTTTAGGTCCAGTGCCATATTCATTGTGTAACCTCAAGAAAGTTGGGAATGTCTAGGCTAAATTTTGATAGGTTAAATCAAATTATCTCCATATGTAAGGAATATTTCTTTATTTTTTCAATTAGTATTTTAAATTATTTAGCCAACATGAATTAATAAACTCTTAAACATGCACATGAAAAAGACTTTATGTAATTATAATATTTACATTAGTTAACAAAAATGCTTAAAATATATAATATCAAACATTACTTTGTACAAACTTTTACTACCAAAATATGTAAAGCATTTCAAATGGACTTTTGTCCTTAGTATTTTTTATCAGCATTTGCAGCAGTTTTCCATCATCCAATACAGTTCTCAAGAAACATTAATTTTGGGCTGGTGATTTAACTCAGTGGTTTCACCACCTGCTGAGCAAGCACAAGGGCCCAAGTTTGATCCCTGGTACCCCCCCCAAAAAAAGAAACATTAATTTTTAGGCCGATGTACCACTGCCCCCAGCACCAAGGAGTTGAGCACCACAGGTGCCAGAAACACACACCTGCCACCACATGTTGAAATGAGAAGAAAGGTAAACAAATATCAAAACCAGACTTCCAGGCCACCTAAAACAACCCCAAAGGGAAAGGAGATGGAACAATCTGATACTCAACCACCTGGACTCCCTGAACTAGCAACGAAAGAGGATCTGGAAGAAATGAAATCAGAAAAAATTTCTCAGATAACAGCAGAAATTATGCCCATAGTGCAAGACATGGTTAATGAATCTAGAAAGGACATAGATTAAAAAAATAGAGGATCTGAGGAACATGATGTAATCCCAACATAGGAAACAAATGGAATCCATAAAAGAAATGCAAACAGATTTCCAAGAGATTAAAGCTTCATGGAAAGTTTACGCAGCACAATGAACCAATGTGAGGACAGAATTTCAGATATAGAAGATAAGATTGCAGTTAGTGACCAGGAAATGAAAAATTGCCTTAAAATAGTAAGGGACCATAAGAAATAAACTGAGCAGCTGCTACATGATAAAACTGTTCACAGGCTTGGCAGTCACTACCTTCGGCTCTGAGACATTCATTACAGGGCCATTCCACTGCTCCCAGCCCAGAGCAAGGGGCTTCCCAGACGCCTTTCCACCACTGCCAGCACAGAGGAGATGAGCCCTGCTGTGCCAACAGCACCCCCCCCCAACCAAATGAGAAGAAATATAAACAAGTCTCAAAACCAGACTTCCAGATCACCTACAGCAACCCCAAAGGGAAGGGAGATGGAACACTCTGATGCTCAACCACGTGGACTCCCTGAACTGGCAACAAAAGAGGATATGGAAAAAATGAAATCAGAAATAATTTCTCACATAACAGCAGAGATTGTGCCCATAGTGCAAGACATG